CAGGAGGCGGGGCTCCATTTGGGGACAGGGCCTGTGCTGTGGAGCCTGTCAGAGCTCCCTCCGGCCACAGACAGCCTCCAGCACCGTTCCAGCTGAGCTCCTTTGCCCTGCATTCCCTCCCCCGGGCTGTAACACACTGTTACAGCCCGAGGGAATAGAATGTAAGAAAATGTTGCTGGCATTTGGGGGGGCCCAAGGTGGGGCACAGCATGATGTAGGGGGGCTATGGCACCCTCTGCCCGACCCCCTCAGCAACGCCAATGACCAGAGTATGTTGATGGCAACGTTGCTGATCGTGGTTAACACAGGGTCCTTGACAGGTTAAGTAAAAAAGAAATCGAGAACATACACTGAACAAAATTATAAAGGCAACACTTTTGTTTTTGCCCCCACTTTTCATGAGCTGAACTCAAAGATCGAAGACTTTTTCTATGTATGAACAGCAATATGGGTGGGATCTTGTAGATACATAACTAGTCTAGTACCCTACACGTTTTGTGATTATTTTTGTGGAAATTCTATTCATAACGTTTCATGAATCAAAAGCTGGTAGATGATTACAGAGTGCATACAGGTGATACTCGAAAAATTAGAATATCGTGCAAAAGGGGAAACTAATATATGAGATAGCAAAAAATGGGTCGCAAAAGTATTCTGAGAACGTACAGCAGCTAAAATAGCCTGCCCTTCGGTGGGTCCCCGCTCAGACCTCAAGCTGGTTTTAGCTCATCTTGTGCCATTACAGAGAGAACATATCTGAAGCATATCAGACTGGTCCCACCCATACGGGCAGTCCAGATCCGAAATGCCAGCAAGTTCTCTCTGCACGAGAGATACAGCAACCCCAGGCGATCGTTTCAGCCTTGTTAGGCATCGTCAGTGAGGCATAGCTGATATCTCTCTAGGCACCGTGAGCACCTCAGTATTCTCTTGCGACCCATTTTTGACTCTCCACAAGTTTAAAGGGATAATCCAGACGTGGTTCCCTTGCTCACGGTGCCTAGGGAGATATCAGCTATGCCTCACTGATGATGCCTAACAAGGCTGAAACGATCGTCTGGGGTTGCTGTATCTCTCGTGCAGAGAGAACTTGCTGGCATTTCAGATCTGGACTGCCCGTATGGGTCGGACCAGTCTGATATGCTTCAGATATGTTCTCTCTGTAATGGCACAAGATGAGCAAAAATCAGCTTGAGAACTGAGCGGGGACCGACCGAAGGGCAGGCTATTTCAGCTGCTGTCCGTCCTCAGTATTCTCTTGCGACCCATTTTTGACTCTCCACTAATATATGAGATAGACGCATTTCATGCAAAGCAAGATAATTCAGGCCATGATTTGTCATAAGTGCGATGATTATGGCTTACAGCTCATGAAAACCCCAAATACACAATCTCAGTAAATTAGAATATTGTGAAAAGGTGCAATATTTTAGGCTCAGTTTTCCACTCTAGTCAGCTAAGCCATAACACCTGCAAAGGGTTTCTGAGCCTTTAAATGGTCTCTCAGTCTGGTTCAGTAGGAATCACAATCGTGGGGAAAACTGCTGACCTGACAGTTGTGCAGAAAACCATCACTGACACCCTCCATAAGGAGGGAAAGCCTCAAAAGGTAATTGCAAAGGAAGTTGGATGTTCCCAAAGTGCTGTATCAAAGCACATTAATAGAAAGTTATGTGGAAGGTAAAAGTGTGGAAGAAAAAGGTGCACAAGCAGCAGGGATGACCGCAGCCTGGAGAGGATTGTCAGGAAAAGGCCATTCAAAAGTGTTGGGGACTTTCACAAGGAGTGGACTGAGGCTGGAGTCAGTGCATCAAGAGCCACCACACACAGGCGGATCCTGGACATGGGCTTCAGATGTTGTATTCCTCTTGTCAAGCCGCTCCTGAACAACAAACAACGTCAGAAGCGTCTTACCTGGGCTAAAGAAAAACAGACCTGGTCTGTTGCTCAGTGATCCAAAGTCCTCTTTTCTGATGAGAGCAACTTTTGCATCTCATTTGGAAACCAAGGACCCAGAGTCTGGAGGAAGAATTGAGAGGCACACACTGCAAGATGCTTGAAGTCCAGTGTGAAGTTTCCACAGTCTGTGTTGATTTGGGGAACCATGTCACCAGCTGAAAGTTTCCTAGCTCGTCTCTGCTCTTGTCAGCTCGAAGTTTTCTAGCTTGCCTGTTCCTGTCAGCTGTGCATTTTCTAGCTTGTCTCTGTTCCAGTTAGCTGTGCATTTCCTAGCGTGTTTCTGTTCCTGTCAGCTGTACATTTCCTAGCGTGTCTCTGTTCCTGTCAGCTGTACATTTCCTAGCGTGTCTCTGTTCCTGTCAGCTGTACATTTCCTAGCGTGTCTCTGTTCCTGTCAGCTGTACATTTCCTAGCGTGTCTCTGTTCCTGTCAGCTGTACATTTCCTAGCGTGTGTCTCTGTTCCCTAGCGTCAGCTGTACATTTCCTAGCGTGTCTCTGTTCCTGTCAGCTGTACATTTCCTAGCGTGTCTCTGTTCCTGTCAGCTGTACATTTCCTAGCGTGTCTCTGTTCCTCTCAGCTGTACATTTCCTAGCGTGTCTCTGTTCCTGTCAGCTGTACATTTCCTAGCGTGTCTCTGTTCCGGTCAGCTGTACATTTCCTAGCGTGTCTCTGTTCCTGTCAGCTGTACATTTCCTAGCTTGTCTCTGTTCCTGTCAGCTGTACATTTCCTAGCTTGTCTCTGTTCCTGTCAGCTGTACATTTCCTGGGTTGTCTCTGTTCCTCACAGCTATGCAGCTATGCATTTCCTAGCTTGTCTCTTTACATGTCAGCTGTGCATTTCCAAATTTCTCTGTTCGTGCCAGCTGGAAATTTCCAAGCTTGTCTTTGTTCGTGCCAGCTGGAAGTTTCCAGGCTTGCCTGTTCCTGTCAGCTGGAAGCTTCCTAGCGTGTCTCTTTACATGTCAGCTGTGTATTTCCTAGCTTGTCTCTTTTCCTGCCAGCTTTTCATTTCCAAATTTCTCTATTTGTGCCAGCTGGAAGTCTCCTAAGCTTGTCTCTGCTCTTCTCAGCAGGAAGTTTCCTAGCTTGTCTGGGTTTCTGTCAGCTGTGCATTTCCTGGGTTGTCTCTGTTCCTGCCAGCTTTACATTTCCAAATTTCTCTGTTCGTGTCAACTGGAAGTTTCCTAGCTTGTCACTGCTCTCATCAACTGGACATTTCCTAGCTTGCCTGTTCCGGTCAGCTGCAAGTTTCCTAGCTTGTCTCTGTTCCAGCCAGCTGTACATTTCCTATAGTTTCTCTGTTCCAGCCAGCTGTACATTTCCTATAGTTTCTCTGTTCCAGCCAGCTGTACATTTCCTATAGTTTCTGTGTTCCAGCCAGCTGTACATTTCCTATAGTTTCTCTGTTCCAGCCAGCTGTACATTTCCTATAGTTTCTCTGTTCCAGCCAGCTGTACATTTCCTATAGTTTCTCTGTTCCAGCCAGCTGTACATTTCCTATAGTTTCTCTGTTCCAGCCAGCTGTACATTTCCTATAGTTTCTCTGTTCCAGCCAGCTGTACATTTCCTATAGTTTCTCTGTTCCAGCCAGCTGTACATTTCCTATAGTTTCTCTGTTCCAGCCAGCTGTACATTTCCTATAGTTTCTCTGTTCCAGCCAGCTGTACATTTCCTATAGTTTCTCTGTTCCAGCCAGCTGTACATTTCCTATAGTTTCTCTGTTCCAGCCAGCTGTACATTTCCTATAGTTTCTCTGTTCCAGCCAGCTGTACATTTCCTATAGTTTCTGTGTTCCAGCCAGCTGTACATTTCCTATAGTTTCTCTGTTCCAGCCAGCTGTACATTTCCTATAGTTTCTCTGTTCCAGCCAGCTGTACATTTCCTATAGTTTCTCTGTTCCAGCCAGCTGTACATTTCCTATAGTTTCTCTGTTCCAGCCAGCTGTACATTTCCTATAGTTTCTCTGTTCCAGCCAGCTGTACATTTCCTATAGTTTCTCTGTTCCAGCCAGCTGTACATTTCCTATAGTTTCTCTGTTCCAGCCAGCTGTACATTTCCTATAGTTTCTCTGTTCCAGCCAGCTGTACATTTCCTATAGTTTCTCTGTTCCAGCCAGCTGTACATTTCCTATAGTTTCTCTGTTCCAGCCAGCTGTACATTTCCTATAGTTTCTCTGTTCCAGCCAGCTGTACATTTCCTATAGTTTCTCTGTTCCAGCCAGCTGTACATTTCCTATAGTTTCTCTGTTCCAGCCAGCTGTACATTTCCTATAGTTTCTCTGTTCCAGCCAGCTGTACATTTCCTATAGTTTCTCTGTTCCAGCCAGCTGTACATTTCCTATAGTTTCTCTGTTCCAGCCAGCTGTACATTTCCTATAGTTTCTCTGTTCCAGCCAGCTGTACATTTCCTATAGTTTCTCTGTTCCAGCCAGCTGTACATTTCCTATAGTTTCTCTGTTCCAGCCAGCTGTACATTTCCTATAGTTTCTCTGTTCCAGCCAGCTGTACATTTCCTATAGTTTCTCTGTTCCAGCCAGCTGTACATTTCCTATAGTTTCTCTGTTCCAGCCAGCTGTACATTTCCTATAGTTTCTCTGTTCCAGCCAGCTGTACATTTCCTATAGTTTCTCTGTTCCAGCCAGCTGTACATTTCCTATAGTTTCTCTGTTCCAGCCAGCTGTACATTTCCTATAGTTTCTCTGTTCCAGCCAGCTGTACATTTCCTATAGTTTCTCTGTTCAACAATTGAACTTTAGAAAGACCTTTTGTTCAGCTTGTGTTGGGGACCTCAATAAATATGGAGTGCATTTTCACTAATTGATGCAGGGCATTTTTATTTTTGTATTCTATATTGACTGGTTGCAGAGCCACAATATGTTTTTGCACCTTCAAGGAGTGTGTGTAAAATATTTATTATTTTTATAGGTCCTTTTTTCTACATCTTTTGACTAGGTGTATTACAATAAAGGTTGCACTGTGTGTGAATATTTTCTGTGTTTTTTTACAACTTTATAAGGAAATACACTAGTGCAAAAGCACACAAAACTTTACTGAAAACAAATAGCATTCAAAATAATTAAATCCATAAAATAACACTTTTGCTCCATTCATTTATTGTTGTATTCATATCATGCAGAAATCAAACAGGAGAAAAAGAAAGTATACCTTGTTGGTTTATAACTATGTATTTACTACATTTAGCAGTTTAAATAATGAACAAATGAATTGATGGGCACACTTTTAAAGTACCTATTTATGAAATTATTATTCTAGAACACGGATGTCAGACTTTGATCATCCTACTGCTGGCAGAGGATTCTAGGAAACTTTCTCCTCTGTCTGGACAAGGAACGGTTAGATGTTCTTGATCTATGGCCTGGGTTTCAGTTGGTACATTCTTTCAGAGATTAGGGCTTAATTACTGAGCGGTTCTCTAGCAGTTCACATTAGCTTTAGAAGGTTCTGAACAGCTGGTTAGGTAAATACCCTAAATGCAGAAATGATGTCTGAGCCTCTTTTTCCAAAGATGCCAACTCCTGTACAGTGGGTGCCAAAATATCCACATGACCTTTATAGAGTCCACCTACAAAAATACAGGAAACAAACGAACAGAAAGTCAGATTTACCAACTTTTTATATATTATGTAGTAGGGTTGCATCTGATGAGGTGAGGAACAGCTCTTCACATATAAAAAAAAATTCCCATTCTCATTTACCAGCCCATTTTCTATAACTATAGCGGACAAAGGATCTTGGAAAATTAGCTGAAGGTTTGGATTCAAGACACCCACAACACACCCCTGCTCTCTGACTACTCATTGATAGAATCTTTAAATACACCGAGGGACTACATTGTTTCAGTATTTGTCCACTGCCTGATGCTTCTTGACACTGGATGGAACTTATCTTCCACATGTGAGAGAACAGCAGTTACATAGACTCCTAGAAGTGGAAGCACCAGGAGCAGAAGCGAACCAGCCAGAAGATGATGGCTGTGCCCGCGAGGACAGGTTCAGGTAAGTAAAACTCACTTTTGCCTGCCCCCACAGCCACTGGCACCCCAGCACCTCTGGCGTCTTTGTAAGTTATGCAAAGTATCCAGACAGTGATAGTGCCGCTTTAACCAATAGCTACAAGCTCTTTCTACAGAAAGATACAGTAAAGTAGACAAATAACATTAGAATTAATAGGTCTTTATTCACTCTTACCCCCTGCAGCCCTTCGCTTTCCATAAACAACCTTTCCATCAAATTCATCCACAGGAACTTTGAGATCGGGTTCCACTTGGGATATGGTGCAAGTCAGGTGCTCCTCTATTTCAGACAGCAACTATAAAAAAAACGGAAAAAAAAACAAAAAGGAGAATTCCCGATGAAGATAGCAGATACTCGTGTATGAAGCCCAAGATGGATAGATGTACCCTTTTTTAAGTGGATGTGTCTACCCAACTAAGTAAATTGTATAGCCTATGGCAAGCACAGTTCAACTTCATATTATACTATGCCACAATGTAACTGCATTGTATTCTTAGAGTGAGATAGACACCTCTCACTCAGTTTGCATAGCTCTGTACCTTATTTATTTATAACAATAGCACAAAGGTTTAACGGATTACTGTAGCCAAAAAATAACTTTATACAAAATGGAATCATTGTCCTTAGTTTTGAAACATACTGTGAAATACCCCTAGATCAACTAAATCAAGTATTTTGAAAATGTTGTGAAAAATGGCTTCCAACCTGTCTCAGGCACATCATTCGCTCCCATCTTGCGGCACAACATTGTAAACCCAGTCTGCCCACCTTTCAAGACCATGCCCCTAGTTAATGGGCTCCACCTGCCTGTCTCTGCCTGTATGTCTGCTCCACCTCCAGCTAGAACTCTCCTATTTTGCTTTTTATAAGGTTTTTCCATTGTATGTAAGTAGCTGAGAGGGTAAGGCTGGGGAAGAGTAGTTACCATGTTTTGAAACTGGAGGCCAGCAGAGTTTCAATGTTATGGGACCAGAGTTACTATTTTGAGGAGGTGAATGGAGACAGAATAAGATGCTGTGGAGGCTGAGCTACAATAATTGCAGAGACCAAAAGGAATAGATCGAGTCACAGCAAGTTTCCCTCAGCCTGTCCTGCTGCAGTAAGAATACTGGGCAATGTGGAATGATGCCATTGACCTGTGCACAAGGTACAAGAAGGCAGATAGTCCAATCACATGATGGTCACTAGTTGTTGGTTTTAGATTGGTTTGGGGCAGTTTTATTACATGTACCTGGTGTAACGTTATTACAGTCTGAATGAATAATTATATATTTTATCTGTGTATTTGCTGGCATATTTGTTAACATGATGTGCAGATAAAATGTTATTGTCCACCAAGTGCTACGATAAAGGAGGCTATTCAATACACTAGAAGCAAACCTAATAAAATACTAAATTACAAATATTTAGTTTAAATGATTAAGTTAAACTAAATATTTATAAAAACCTTTATAAAATCAGCACTTTGAAAAAGAAATAAAACAGAAGTTGTGTAACTGTGGCAAACTGCAATTTTGGTTTCAACAGTTGTTAAGCTACAGCATCACTTGATGCTCAGTTAGCCACAAAGACACATTCATTTTCTTTCAGAGTGATTGCTGCACATCAGGAGAAAGCAGCTCTACTGCAACTGGAGAGCTATCTATCCCAGACTTTCACACAATGAGGATATAGATAAACTGTCATTTCCAGAAAAGACGTGACAACTTCTCATTCCTTCACCACAGTAAACGCCATTTTAGCATTTACTGTCCTGTTGTGAATAATGCATTGGAAGTCATTTTAAAAACAAAACAAACACATTGCACTTCAAAGTTGCGGCATCTCCAGCATCCCATGACCTTTCAATGCGCTGAGGCACCTAAAAGAGAAATTCTGTGTGCATGTGTGCTCAGAATGTTCTCAAGCAGTGCAGCATGTACAGAATACAAGCAAGAGTTAACTAAACTACATGCTTTGCCCAGCCCTGGCTTGCAGATTATGGAAGTAAAAAACAAAACAAAACAAAAAAATTAAAGGAAAAATACAAAAAAAAAAATAAAAAAAAAATAGCACAACCGATACCTAACTTTTAGATAGCTATTGGGTTCAACTAATAAAAAAAAAACTGTAAAGGGACAGTTCCTATTTAAATCAATAAATGTTCAGCCGTACATATTACACTGTATATTTAGCAAAGCTAAAAGCAACAGTATACCAAACTCTCCGTTCTAGTGAGTGTATATGCTAAAAAGCCACAAACATCAAAATATAGCACTCAAATGGAGAACATTACCTGCATCTCATTGTACCATATAGTACAACCTCCGTCTTCTTTCAGCCTTGTGTTGTAACAGCCTTTCCCCCGGCTGCTGCACACATGATACCAAACCTCAAGAAAAAAAATACAATAAAAATGTTGACAACTAGACAATCCTAAATTAATTTATTAAACATAAGAAACACTCTCTGAGTCAGTCAGTATAAATATTGGGCCAGAAATGCCTTTGCAATAGAGAAAAAAAGCTCTGCATTTTACAACAACCAAGGATCAATGAATATAAAATCTCTCTCTCTCTCTCTCAGAGGTTCTTACTCCTTCCTCTGATACCAAGTGAGGCAGAAAACAGAACAAAGTATTCTGCCTCTAATCTGCTCACATCATTTGGTAATGATCCAATACTGCAGATTGCCATAAATGTATTCTATTCATTGGATCATACAAAAAAAAAATCAAGAAGTACATTAAATGGCATAGCCAGACAGATTCCAGGAATTTGTTTTCTTGAAAAAATAAATAAATAAATAACTTGACAGAACTGCACCCACAGACACCTTGCACTGTAACTACTACAATGAGCTGCAGTTTGTGGTGCTTAGAGTGTTCTTTTAATACAATGAAAATTAAACATAAATACATGTGTAGTGGAAGCTCCCTGTAGAAGCTGCAAATCCAAAAACTGTGCAGAAAAGGTAGAAACTTAAAATGAAATATGTAATGTACATATAATGTACTGAAAACCAGGCGCCTGAAGTGTCACTTTCTTGATTATTACTTAAACTAACACATAGTTGATTTTAAAGAAAATATGTGTTTATTACCTTCTCTTTCTCGGCTGCCACCAGTGAAACAGCCAGGCCCATTCTAGAGTGGGGGGGGAAAAAAAAGGGGTTACTTAAAAGAACTTGAGGTTTGAGGATAAAACTATTTAATTAGGAACAATATATTATTTGGGATATACCTTTCAGCTCTCCCTACTCTGCCAATGCGATGGACATAGTTCTGTTTTTCGTCTGGGAGTGTAACGTTGATAACTTCAAAAGGCAAAAAGTGAAAGCAGGTTAGATTCACACAGGTAAATTAATAGATCAATTAATGACAATGTTAATTGTGGTCAATCACTTTGTAACCTGTGGTTTTCAGCTTAGAAAACTACCAACACCTGTGATCCATTTTATCCCCAATTATCAATATTAAACTGACTGAAAGATAATAGAATCTTCTAACTCGTGCACTTTGTTTCACATAATACTTTCCAAAAATAAAATAGTAGAGTGGTGCCCCTGGCACAGCCTGAAATGCACTATGGGACATATGTACCACAAGTAGAGCATAGATCTCTTGTCATTAAATGCTAGAGCAATATTAAATGGTAAATGTCATAATTCCATATTTGGGTTTGTTTATTCAAACAGTCTTTTGGGTGATGTCTTTACAGCTAGATTATTTAGACATTTTGTACAATTTGTCTGAACATATGTAATACAAAAAATAAAAATAAGAAGCAATAGAAGAGCTTACCATAAGGGACTCCATGAATATCAATACCCCTGGCAGCCACATCTGTGCAGATCAGGAATCGAACTTCAGCTTTCTATTCACCAGCAGGAAGAAACACAAGCAAAACCGTAAAGAACTCATAATGTTATCACTAAAACTTTCACCTCACTGATTTGCTGAACAAAAGAAAAATGTATCAACATAGGATCAACCAGTGTGTACCCAGGGAATCCCCAAGGGCTAAACACAAATTGTACACTATACACTATGTGCAATGGGCACTTGCTACCACATTTTACTTTAGAATTTAGAGGGTTACATGAACAAACTTATATAAATTCCCCAAGATTAAACGTTTCATTCATGACTGGATTTAATTCTTCTTAAAGATCTGAAAGGTCAGAAATTTAAGAAATTCTCAATTTTAGACCAAATGGAAGCGACGCTCAACAACAGGTGACTGTTCTAATTATATACAAACTGTGAAGCAATAATGGTTTATGGGATATTATCAGCATATATTCACGTTCATGGCACCTTGGCCTGATGTTTACCTTAAATCGTTCAAGGTTTGTCTTTCTTTCCTGAGGTTTTCTGTCACTGTGGAGGCACACGCATGAAAACTGATGTCCCTTCCTATCAGGACCTAATAATAGAGAAAGACCTTCTTATTAAATCTGGTGGGGGCCACAAGACAAATCACTTGCAGGCACACACACACACCGTAATGCAATCACAGTTAACCTTCTTGGTTTCTGAACTACATTTCCCATGATGCTCAACCTACAACCAGGTTGGCTAAGCATCATGGGAAACATTTGGAATGACTTATGTTTCTGATGCAATTTTGAGCAAGATGTGCCATCAATCCATACCTCCTCCCTGCTGTATGAAGTACTGCTCCATGTTATCACAGTCCAGCTTGGTGCGGCAGAATATGATGGCCTGGTCCATGTTATGCTCCTTGATCGCACGGATAGTGTATTCGCCTTTTAGCACTTTTATTGCTTCGGACCACATTTCTGAAATTAAGAGGTTTGGTTTTTGTTTTTGCAATGAAAAAACGTTTTTAAAGTAAAATCACTGCAGTGAGGATTTCTGAAGCCCGTTGGATCCATAGACTTTTTCTATAAATATAAAGACAAACATTAGAATTACCTGCAGAATTTGCTCCAGGTCTAGTGTTGTCTTTATCATGAACGCCGTCAGTCTAAGGAGAGGAAAAACAATATTACATGTCCATGCATAATGTACGGAATGATACATAAACATAGTTTGGCAAATGCAGTGTCTAATAGCAGAATTTTTTTGTAAACATGTATATTTTAAATTACAGAGCATGAAGAAAGAAAAGGAAAAATAAATAAAAAGAAAACTGGTTCAGAGCAAGAAAGAGAACATCCCTGCTGTTGCAAAAACCTAATGATATAGTTGTTATGAGACTGATGCATAAGGGAAGGACTCAAAGTAAGACAGAAATCAATATTTCACCACATGCTGCAGCTGTGTTCTACTGGTAGCCAGCTGGGACTTGTTGATGGTAGCTGGGAAATGTAGTCTAAGAACACAAAGATCTAGAAACTTTGGAACAAGTTAAACTGCATTTATGTATACTATAACACAGGAAGTGAATACCAGGAACTAAAAGACAGTAAGAGCCAAAACAGAGCGTTTGTAAGAGCAATGTGCTAGCTATCAATGTTCTCTTACACGCCACTTACACGCCATTTATTAAAAGATCACTATAGGGTCAGGAACACAAACATGTATTCCTGACCCTATAAATGTTAAAACCACCATCTAGCCACCCTGGGCCTCCATAAATATAGCAAAATCTTACTGTATTCAAGCCAGAAGCTGTAACTCTGCATGCTGTTTGCCTAAAAAAACAAAACAGCAGTCTGCTGACATCATCAGAAGTAGTAACCTGATCCAATCACAATGCTTCCTCATAGGATTGGCTGAGACTGACAAAGAGGCAGATCAAGGGCAGAGCCAGCATGATTCAAACACAGTCCTGGCCGATCAGCATCTCCTCATAGAGATGAATTGAATCAATAAATCTCTATCGGGAAAGTTCAGTGTCTGCATGCAGAGGGAGGAGATACTGAATGTTTAGATGCATTTTAGGCAGCCATGACCCAGCAACAGCCATCTGAGGAGTGGCCAGTGAAGTTATCACTAGGCTGCAATGTAAACACTGCATTTTCTCTGAAAAGACAATGTTTACAGCAAAAAGCCTGAAGGTAATGATTCTACTCACCAGAACAAATTCAACAAGCTGTAGCTGTTCTGGTGACTATAGTGTCCCTTTAAGTTGGCATCAGTACATATGCACTATGGGTCAAAGGAGAGAAACGTCAATATAAGCATGGAAAAGGACTCTGATGCCTTTGATCATCAAAATCAGGTCAAACATGTGAAGTCAAGCCAAATTAAATCAAGAGACTGGGACCATAAACTGCTTTGTTGCTGTTAAAGAGGTAAGTCTGATTGGCAAGCTGACAGTAGCAGGCAATCAGAGGGATTTAATCCCTCATTGTTTGAAAAAAGACATGACAGTGGTAGTGGTAATCATAAAAAAAAAAAAATACTGTACAACATTCTTTTACGGCAGAGAAAGCCATACCTCACTACAGGTTCTCTTTCTACTGCAAAGAATTATGTGCCGGTGCTCCTACAGCAAAAGAGATCTCAAAGCAGAAGAGGAAAATAAAAAGGACAACTGGAAATAAGATAAAACTGGTGCCAATTGATATCATGCTGCTTGACCAAGAAAGCCTGGAGGATTTGTGTGTGTGCCACTAGATAATCTGGCAGTTATTGAAAGAAAATCAGATTAAACATAAACCTTGCTAGAAAAACTGTAGGAACAAGTCTTATCGTCTTTAATCTGACAATCTTTACAAATCCTAAAAAGCGTGGTTTCAGACAATCGTGCACAGCTCGGTCTTACAGAATGTTATGTAAAGGCCAAAAAAAATCACCAGTCATGAAAACTAAAGATAACTACGCAAGACACAGGAAAAGGTAAAAGAATAGAAGAACACAAGTTCTAGAATAGAATATTATTTAGGAAGACAATTTGGGGGTTTTCAGGTAACCCACATCCTAAGATGTTAAACTGCGGCTAAATTGTGAGAAAATACGATTTTAATTTGTGAAAATGTACAGTCATTGGCACCAGAATACATGAATAGACTGTGCCAAGTTTATATCTATTACTTTAACAAAAACAGGAGTAAAAACTTTAGAATTGCTTAAAACTTTAAAAATTTTCAGGTTTATTTAATAAATTCTAAAGGCTCAAGAATTAAGAAGATAATTTCAGATTTTACAATTTTTTGTTTAGTAAGTAACCCTACTTTTGAGGGGCGTTCACTATCCCATTAGTTCAGGTATCAACCTAAACCAAAGAGTAGATGTTATATTGTGCAACACGTTATGGCAATATTTAGATTAGCAGAGCTTTGGAAATGTAATATTGATAAACAGTATTTTCTATGTATACTTGAACTAAGTGATGATGAACATGATGAAGCAATTACCCGGACATGGCTCTTGCCCAGTCGTTCCCACAGTTTGTCTTTCTTTGGGTTGACAACGAGGACGACGTGATGCACTGTTTCAGGGACAGAGTCCTCTCCTTTAAGATCCACCCAGGTAGGGAAATGCATGATTTTCTCGGACAGTTTCTTTACATCGAAGGAATGCAGTGTGGCTGAACATACAATCACCTGGTGTACAAAACAGATTCCAAGACGTAAAGTCATTCAACTAATACACAGCAGAATGTTTAATAAAGAAGGATTAGGTAAAGACAATGTCTACTAAACAATGATTGCAGATTATAACCTGGGGATTGTATACCATGAAGCACTTACCTGCAGCCTCTTTCCATCTGATGTGATCTGAGGAATCTGCCCATGAATTCTGTTGATGAAATCCAAATAACCTTGAGAAAGAAGGCCGTCCTGCAATCAAAAAGTACAAATGGGTATCACTAGCAGTAACAAAGTGAATCTGAATGATGATGCTTTAAAGGAATATCACAAAGGGGAAGATTTATCAAAGGGTCACAGAATAGAATAACTTGTTTTTTTATGGATTTATCAAATGTTATGGCCATTTTCACTATTACTTTTGTAACGTTTGTCACTTTATCCTTTTTCTGCATTACCTTTTGTACAAATCATTCCATTTATTGTTATTTTGAGAAAAGTTTTCCTTAAGCCCATTAAACACTTTTTTGTTTCTAAAGAAATCCTTTCAACTTACAGCTTCATCCAGCACCAGGAATCTAACTTGAGACAGAACAAGTTTTCCTGTTGAAACAAGGTCGTCTATTCTGCCGGGAGTCCCCACCACTATATCCACCTGCAAAATATAACGAATAACATTTTAAGGAAATTACAGAAACAAATGCCACACTCTGGAATTGCTTAAATTGTAAAAATAAATGAATACATACAGTTTCAGGGTTGGAAAACAAAATGGGAATCTTAAACGTTAGGTCAAATTCGCCTATAAACAACAAGCAGATCATATAAAATGTACACATATAATTATTTGTATAACGCACCAACAAATTAGGAAGACTAACACATAAGTAGTTGCAACAAGACAAGTTGGACGTACAGGAACAGAAGGTGCCGATGGCCCTGGTCAAACAAGCTTACATTCAACGAGAAGTGGGGTAAAATGACAGGGGTAAGATTTATTTCATGTATGGGAAAAGTAGGTTACTAACAGAGTTTACAATAAAATTTTATGGAAGGAGAATATGTTAACAGTTATTTAAAGGGAGTAGTGACCGTTGGATTTTGCAGTAAAGAATTTATTGTTTACTTTGGCCAAGTAGGTTTCGAAAGAACGATGAGTGTGGAATCCAGACTGAAGTGGGTCACACAGAGTTAGATTCAAGAAAATTAGTTAGTTTCAGGCAACTCTCTCAAGGACATCGGGGGCAAATGGTAATAGGTAAATAGGAAATTTAGATTGAACTTCTTTAGGATCCGGGTTATGGTTGCATGCTTGAAGGGAGCTGGAAATATACCAAGCACCCATAAAAAAATAACTACAAAAATCAGCATCATTTGCAAAGGGTCAGACCCTGACCCGCTTTGTTTTGCATGTTTTCTTTAAAAATATACAGCTGCTTGTAGAGGTAAATGAAAGTCAAGCAAGTCCCATAATGCTTACAAACATATTTGAATTTGATGGTGTGTGCCATTTCATGCAAATGAGATTTATTTAAAGGGAGTGCTTTCTTGAATGTTACAATATTGTACGCCACAGGTATGAATACTGCCAAACTTCACCCTTCAAGAGCAGGTATGTACAGATTAATATTAGTAGATGCCAAAATTGTAATTCTTCATGAAAACTTACACCGCTCTCGAGAAGAGACAGTTGTTCCTTTGCTGCAACTCCACCAATAATCAGGAGTTCCCTGAAGACAAAAAACAAATTCTTTACTATAATGCTATTCTATGTATTTAACATATTAAATAAACAAAAAATAAATAAAAACAGTTACCTCAACTTGGGATTGTCCACATATTTCTTAAACTGTTTGACATTGTTCAGTGTTTGCTCTGCCAGTTCTCGCGATGGTTCAATAATAAGTGCCTTTGGTGCATTAGGCAAATTCTTTGCTTGGGACACCTGTGCACTTCCTAATGAAAGAGAAACATGTAGATGTGTGGACATTGCTATACAGGAGCAATAGCTAAATGTGGCATTGAAGATTTCATTAAACTCAATTAACCAAATTTTCCATGATAGACAGATTCCTGGTTTTACAGGGCCACTCTAAACACCACAACCACTACAGTTTACTGCAGCGTTATCCCCCCCTCCCTGGTTTCCTGCAAATAATTTTTAAGTTGTTCAAAGGGGGGGTTGGGGGGGAATAAAACGCAGGGGGGAAAAGCCTTCCATTAGCCTGTTCAACTTAGTAATGTTATGACAAGCCAAGAACAAGGTTAGTCAAATGCTCCAAACTGTTTCACGGTAACTGTAGACATTTCCTGTGAGTTGGCAATATAAGAATAGTGTGATTATATATATTCTAGACCTCTGAGTGAGGTAACGTAACTAAAAAGTAGCTCAATTTGTCTATGTACATAGTGCTGAGGAAATAATCCCTGCACACATGAAGAGAGAAAGCACTGCTGCGGGAACCCTTGTCATCTAATAGAATGCGTCTTTTCTTACCAAGTGATGAGTATGAGTATGAGTAAAGTTTAGTGCTGCCCTCTAATGTGGAATGTAATTTTTAGAAGAGAATTCAAAGCCCAGAAGGTTCAGACATACTGGGTTTGGGACACTTAACAATAAACATAATCACAAGAGATCAGAAGATGTAAATAAAAACAACAGAGCACAACTCAAAAATTAAAATTCTTTATAAACAAAAAAAAACTAAATTACTGGAATTTGTATTTTTACATTGTCATTAATGAAAATACTCTCTCCCCCCCCCGGCAGCTCAAATACTATATACACAAAATGAGAAAGGAACATACCAGAGTTTGGAGATTTCACCACATGACCATCAGCAGCTTTGCAAAGAGCAACAAAGCCATCTTTCGGTGGGAATTTAAAGTCCTCATCCCCGAAGTTGAATTTAAGTTCAGCATTCTGAAAGAGAACAATTATGAAATAGCTCATAGGTACCTGGCTTAATAGAGAAACCAACGTGAACCAGTTACCAGAAATAGCTGTGCAGCCTAACACCACCTCACTGTCTCTTACATATAACGTAAACTAAAAACAAAACAAAAAAGTGCAAAACACCTGATTGGAAACTTACAGGGTTATTTCCTAAAGGATTTAGGGAGTAAGAGTTCCAAGACTACTTCTAATAACAATGCCAGCCAATTAAAAACAATAAAAGAACAAATATAACAAATGTGTGAAATTAGCATAGAGAACAGATAGATATTCTAAAGTGGAATTGTTAGCATCACAATTTTCAACATTGTTAAGGGCACATTGCATATAACAAAGGTTCAAGGATTTACCAAATGCATCATGCATAGAATATGCTATTTTTGAGAGATGCCAGATGTGATTTTTTTGGGGAAGGGAGGCGGGAAACACAAAACAAAAAATAGCCACCTATCAATTACTTCACAACGGAACTGTTAAGAGAACCATCAGGAGAATACAGCTGTAGTTCCTTAAGATTCCTCTATAGCATTTCTGCAGTGAATGTAACCAGCCATGTCACAGAACAGAAGACATATCACCTTCTTTAATTAAGGAGATACCTCCAATTGTGTTATTCCAAGTGATGTATGCACAAGCGTCAGAAATTAGTGAATGTGGTCATGCAACATATATGCATAAACATGGTTACTACAGAATTCTGGTTTGATTCAACATCACGGGGGGGTGGGAGGAAAGCAAAGTATTTATGAATATTATTTGAAGAGCTGATCACAGCTTGGAAAACCCTTTTAAACAGATTCACATAAACAACTCATAACGTGCATTTATTGCGGTTATCAGGGTTTAAATAATTGTAAGTTAAGGATCATGTCGGTCAGCAGGACAGTGATTAGTAGAATTTAAGGGGAAAAAAAAAAAAACAACCGAAACAATTACCTCTCTTATTCTTCATACTGCGGAGGGGAGACTGCACTTAAGTGTGATGAATAATAATGCAATTTGCAATGAACTTGTCTATTCTAAATGAACTGAAGTATGGTAGACTTGGAATACATGTTTTGATTTTTAAAGCACCTTTTCTTAAATATGAACAACAAATACAGTGTAGTATAAAGTTCATTTCAAACACTATATATATATATATATATATATATATATATATATATATATATATATATATATATATATATATATATATATATATATATATATATATATTTATTTTTTATAACTAAAGAGATGAAACAAAGTGTACCTTTAAAACGCAGGATGCAAAGAAAGCCTGATTCTTTAGATGTGAAGGAATTTCAAATGCAAGACCAAGGTCCTTACCTAAACAAGATGCACAGATCGTGTATTACAAAAAAGCACAGACCTTAAAGCTTTACTACAGTTATAGAGGATTCCATAGCTTACCATTTTTTGAAAACTTTACTTGGTTATTGTCCAGATCCAAGAAGCAGCCAATAGTGTCATGCATTGTAAACTCCTGAAATAGAAGAGAAACAAGATAGTGTAGGTACTCAAGTGGGAAACAAGTCTCTCGAAGAATTATCATAGCGTCAGACATCTTTATACAATTTTCATTAACACAAATGTCCACTACTGGAGAAGTCCCATCACATGTTAGAGTGTCACTATAAGCATCATTACAAGCTTGTTTAAAAGTACCTTAATCTAACTCTGTGATGGGCAAAAGGCTATGTGTGAATAGCTATCAGCACCAGCATGGCTGCTTGCAGTTTACAGAGACGTTTTTACATTCTAAAAAAATAAGTGGAAGGGTTTTCAGGATAAACTACTTACTGTTCTGAGATTTATGGGACAAGAGTCTCTTCCTTGTGTGTGGGGGTCTGCACATTCTTTTTGAAAGCATTATCTTTATAATACATTAATAAACTGAGAGCTCATAGATTAAATAATAGGGGACATGATTGTAGAGGAGATTCATATACATGTCTTTCTATGGTAGCGATTTACAATGATGTCCTAAACACTTACCTCTCCATAATTGTCAAACTGCTTGTTATGAGACTTTTTCCCAGTCCCACCAAAACCGAAGCCAAACTTGTCCGTTCCTACAAGAAATGATAACCAAGTTATTATTCCAAATAAACCTAAATTTGTAAAAAAATAAATAAAAAAAAATAGACACTATATGCACTACATTATAACTATAGTATTTTCATTTTTGGTTTTGCAGGCTGGAGTCCTCTGTCGGTGTACAACTATTAAGTGTCAAACCAAACTTCAGCAGTTTGACAGTGAATTATATCCCTAGGCACCCATGGCTCTGCCACCACTTGATGGTATGGCCAATGTGGCGGCTGTTCTGCATTTTATATTCCGTATGGTGTAATATCTATAAAGATACAATGTTGAATGAATGATGGCAGTTTTTCCCTACCTTGCAGTAAAAAACAGAGTGTGCCATAGAAATACAAAGCCTATGTCAATTAGGCAGAAGGTATCTCTATAAGACAGTGCTCTAGGGAATTAGCACCACCCATCAGAGAAAAAACAAAAACAAACTATCAACACTTGAAAGGAAGGAGGAAGAAACACAGAATACGGCTTAATTACTAAACTAGGATCAGAAAAGAACCTGTTAATATTATAATACATTTTTAGGTAAATATTATACTATCAATTCATTTATAAGTATGTTTAAAGAAGAGTAAACAGATAACTATTGAAGTGAAACAAAAAGATGAAAGTATGAAGAAAAAAAAAATATATATGACAACGCAAGAAAGTGCAGATACATAATTGTATTATGCCTCTAGCATCAAGGTAACCTAAACAAATAATATATCGTACTATACAAACGAGAAACTTACCAAGGTCTAAGGAAGCTTGTGACACAGACCATCCAACCCGGCACAAGCCCTGATCGTGACAATGAACTTCATAGTAGTACTTTCCTGTTAAAGGAGTAGAGATGGCATGTTCATATTAGAGACTCGTTCGAAAAATATAATATTGCAATAACTTTATAACAGTGAGGAGCTCCCACACCACAAACAGAGCGAACAACTAATAGCTTAGTAGTTTGCCCTCTGGATTATGCACACCCAGAATGTTTCCTGCTAGGTTTTAACTCACTAGTGCCATTACACCATGCTGCTTAGAAGTCAAGCCCCGATATAAATATTATTGTTTAAGCTTTTCAAATTATATTAAAAATATTAAAAATTTTTTTTTTTTTAATTATATATATATATATATATATATATATATATATATATTCCTTAAAACAAGTCAGAATGAAGCTCAGTAGTGTGTGTGGCCTCCACGTGCCTGTATGACCTCCCTACAACGCCTGTGCATTCTCCTGATGAGGTGGTGGATGGTCTCCTGAGGGATCTCCTCCCAGACCTGGACTAAAGCATCTGCCAACTCCTGACTGTCTTTGGTGCAACGTGACGTTGGTGGATGGGGTCTAGCATTGTCTTGAATTAGGAGGAACCCAGGGCCAACCGCGCCAGCATATGGTCTCACAAGGGGTCTGAGGATCTCATCTCCTAATGGCAGTCAGGCTACCTATGGCGAGCACATGGAGGGCTGTGTGGCCCCCCAAAGAAATGCCACTCCACACCATTACTGACCCACTGCCAAACCGTTCATGCTGGAGGATGTTGCAGGCAGCAGAACGTTCTCCACGGCGTCTCCAGACTGTCATGTCTGTCACATGTGCTCAGTGTGAACCTGCTTTCATCTGTGAAGGGCACAGGGCGCAAGTGGCGAATTTGCCAATCTTGGTGTTCTCTGGCAAATGCCAAATGTCCTGCACGGTGTTGGGCTGTAAGCACAACCCCCACCTGTGGACGTCGGGCACTCATACCACCCTCATGGAGTCGGTTTCTGACCGTTTGAGCAGACACACATTTGTGGCCTGCTGGAGGTCATTTTGCAAGGCTCTGGCAGTGCTCCTCCTGTTCCTCCTTGCTCAAAGGCAGAGGTAGCGGTCCTGCTGCTGGGTTGTTGCCCTCCTATGGCCTCCTCCACCTCTCCTGACATACTAACCTGTCTCCTGGTAGCGCCTCCATGCTCTGGACACTATGCTGACAGACACAGCAAACCTTCTTGCCACAGCTCGCATTGATGTGCCATCCTGGATGAGCTGCACTATCTGAGCCACTTGTGTGGGTTGTAGACTCAGTCTCATGCTACCACTAGAGTGAAAGCACCGCCAGCATTCAAAAGTGACCAAGTCATCAGCCAGGAAGCATAGGAACTGAGAAGTGGCCTGTGGTCACCACCTGCAGAACCACTCCTTTATTGGGGGTGTCTGCTAATTGCATATAATTTCCACCTGTTGTCTATCCCATTTGCACAACAGCATGTGAAATTGATTGTCACTCAGTGTTGCTTCCTAAGTGTGATTGACTTGGAGTTACATTGTGTTGTTTAAGTGTTCCCTTTATTTTTTTGAGCAGTGTATATACACACACACAGATATGAAAAAAAGTAAATATATCAAAAGATATCAACATTTTTATATTTTTCATAATATTAAATTACTTTAAAAGTCTATCCAAAACTATTAAATCGTGGCCATGGTAAAAGTGTCCATTTCTGTATGAAACATTTATATTTACCTACGATTTAGATCTGGTAGCAAATACCATGGATTATGCAATCTCCGTGCAGCTGTATCATGGACTTTATTTGCAACTTATATTTGCAAGTAATTTACTTGCGATTTACATGCAATGTCCATAAAAAAAAAAAAAAGTGCCCTTTTCACGATAAATTGTGAGAAATAAGTGGAATTTTGCTTTGAGCATGTTTCCGTGACTTTTATGAAGGGTATGCACACAAAACAGCTTCAACGGTGTGGATATTAAAGCAAGCATAGAGCTCATTTCCAATTTCATCCAGGATGTAAGTGATGGTTTCAACCTATCAGTAGAAACTTGATACAGCAGGAGATTACATTGGGGTCTTTACACTATTGTATTTTTTTTTTTTTTTTCCTCTTGAGAAATGTCTAGGCAGCTCCAGTGCCATTTGGTCTTAAAGAATGTGTGCCTTGGGCATGAAAAATAAGAGAAAACTACCCCCGGAAAACTCATGGTTTAATTATTCAAGTATTTTACGTGCCCTGTTCATGATAAATTGTGAGAAATAAGTGGAATTTTGCTTTGAGCAAACAGAGGTTTTTGCTCACTTTTCCATGACTTTTAAGAAAGGTATGCACATAGAACAGATTCAACGATGTGGATATTAAAGTGAGCATGGAAACCTAGAATGTGACGGCAGATAAGAACCATTCGGCCCATCTAGTCTGCCTAATTTTCTAAATACTTTCATTAGTCCCTGGCCTTATCTTATAGTTAGGATAGTCTTATGCCTATCCCACGCATGCTTAAACTCCTTTACTGTGTTAACCTCTACCACTTCAGCTGGAAGGCTGTTCCATGCATCCACTACCCTCTCAGTAAAGAAATACTTCCTGATATTTTTAAACCTTTTCCCCACACAGCTCATTTCCAATTTCATCCAGGATGTAAGTGATGGTTTCAACCCATCAGTAGAAAATTACATTTGGGTCTTTACACTACTGTACATGTTTTTTAGTTTTTTATTTTAATTTTCCTGAGAAATGTCTAGGCAGCTTCAGTGCTGTTTTTGTTCTCAAAGAACGTGTGCCTTTGGCATGAAAAAGAGAAAACTACTCAGGAAAATTCATGACTTGATTTTTCAAGTATTTTACTAAGCACAGAAACCCACTCTAGACATAATTACCATGTTTTCGCTCATAAAGTGAGTACTCACCTTTAGCATTCTTTTTTCACAATCTGTGTTATTTTTTTGTTTGTTTTTTTTATACCTGATCTAATTTGACCTAAACATTTGCACAAATACCACTTCAGGTACTGCTGCATACTTTGACAAACAATACAAAGGAAATACATTTTTCTGTCTTGCAAGGATTTCACATTCCAAAGTTGGTTCTTGTTTTCAATCATTTTGAGCAAATATGAATTTACCTTTATTAACACCTCGTGTGGATCTGCATCCGTGCCATTCTTTTATTTCTCTGCTTTGGCAAAGGAAGCCATCAGCCCCAATAGCTAAACAGAAGTAAATTGTGTTAGATACTCTGGTCAATAATTCACAGAAATAAACAAAATTTTAATATTATAAAAGTTTTGAAAAATGTAACAAACGTGTAAACATTGAAAGAAAAAAAGAAAATAGATACAAGCTAAATAAAGGGCACTTACCAAAGGCTGAACCTCTGTCATATGGGTTCATCTGCCATTTATTCAGGACTAAAAAAAAAAAAAAGTAATGTCAAAAGGTGAAAAAGTAAGATTGTAGCAACAACAAATCCTAGAAGTGTTTTTTCCCCCCAATAAAACATATATACAAATATACTTGCTCCTGTAGAAGCCCAAGACAAACAATAGCCAAAAATGTAAAAAAAATTACAAGTATCCAACTAATATTGACAGATTTAACAGTAGAACTAGAAGCAGCTTTATATCTATACATACTACAATAGTAGACAAAAATTAATTCGCTATTTCCCACGTATTTCATTTTAAAAAAAATTAAAAAAATTAAAAATTCATACAGTTTGGCTATCACACATCCTAACAATACGAACATTCTAAAAGGATTTGGTCTTTCTCAGATGTGAAATGCATTTTGATATTTGCTAATTCAGCACTTTCAGTGGCAAGGTCAGGCAGGGATAAAGTTCTGAACTCAATAGTTCCCTTACACATGATTTATCTTAGAACCGTTTAATATCTGCAATGAGAATTGGATCTATACCTGTAGTTTTACAATTTGCATAGGGATTGGATAAAATCACTCCCAGTTCCATCTCGAACTGCTTTATCAATTGGGCCTTAAGTTGAAGCTTATTTGGTATAGCAGTTTTTTTCCATCCCCTAACAATTAACAATTTAGTTGCCATAAGACAGTGAATTATCAGAATCTCTATTTTCCTGTCAGGCTTTATTCCATACAGGTGTAATAAGGCTATTTCAGGTTTATTCGCCAGGAATATACCTCCTATCTTATTAATTAAATCAAAAGAAAGGTCCCACAGTGGTCTAATTCTTGGACAGTTCCACCAAATATGCACCATTTAACCATCCGGATGAAAGCATCTCCAGCAATTCGGAGGATTACTCTGGAATATTTTGTTAAAGGGAAACTCAAGTGCCAGGAAAACAATCTGCTTTCCTTGCACTGCAGGTCCCCTCTCACTCCCACGTCAGGGAAATCGATTAATTGTAGTTATGACTTCATTCACGGGTTAACAAGACTGATATGAAACCAACCTTAATTGTACTTTCCCTTTCAATAGGATGTTATTTGTATTTCTTTTACTAATCAGAAAAACATGTACCTATTCAGTATATACTATAAACAGATATAAACACATAGTAAGTGTACTCCCTGTGAAATTGGTGTTACCTGTGCTGCCAGTTTTAATAGAAGCTTTTCCCTTTTTCCCTTCCTGGTGATCTTTCAGTGTTTCATACACAATCTGGATAACAGGGATGCTAAAAGCCTAAACAAGAGTAATAAAAAAAACCACAAATGTGAAGAGACCTACTAATACATGGCTAATAAAAGTGAATGCTACTGTGAGATGATCAATTGTGATAATCTGTGTCCAATCAAATCCTTCATAGAGAATTACGTGATGTACACACAAGGGCCGGTGTCAGCACCCTTTGCAAGCTGACCTCAGATATAAAATAGATTTAATTACTGAATCTATTTTAGTCCAGAGTTTGCCTGGCAGCTGCTAGCAGAAGTGGGTGGAATGTAAAATGTAAACAGAGCAAGTCCTCAAAAAAGGCACTGTTTTCATTGCAAGAATGTCCATTTAACATCAATATATCTTATAGACGTTTGTTTATTTCTAGAACATTGATATAGTTAACACCAGAAAAGGCACAAGTGGAGACGTTTGAATAGGCAATGCAAGTCACTTGTACATTTACTCACCCCTGTCTTTCCACTTCCGGTCTCTGCAGCCTACAAGAAATGGGTAAGAAAAAGGTTTAAAATTTGTCATCTTTTCTTTCACAGGCCCATCCTCAGCAATCTCATTAAACAAATATTAGGCACTGCTCCTAACAGCACCAAGATACAATAACTCCTACCACCAACAGTGCACCCAATTCCCACCATGAACTGCACCATCCTGGTGCTAACACCCTTCAACATCACTTAACAGAAACCCAACACACAAGGTGCCAAATCTGAGTGCCAATTCACTTGCATCGTGTACCACTGCACTATTCACCCACGTATAGACTGCATCAACACTCCACCATAAATGTATTAATATAAATTGTTTATTAAAGACATATTTGTGCATAAAAAAGCAATGTGAACAGTAAGTTCTCAGCAGCAACATGTATACCTTGACTTTATAGAAAAATTAAAAAGAGTAGCATGGAAGTTGAATGACATCTATACATGGTATATAGCAATAAAAATCGACTGGCTCACATGGAAAGCTATAAAAGTGGGGGAAAGACCATGCTTAGCCATTCAATAATAAAAGCAGAAGGATAAGCAAAAGAAAACTAAAGAAAGAGAACAAACAATGCAATCAGACTGCAAAAACATAGCCTAATACTGATGGCAACTGTCTTGACAAGGTCAAGACCCTGGAACAGACCATGGCACTTAACCAATACTCTAATTGGGGGCCTGATTGGAGGCAGGTAGAAAACATCAAGAGGGACCGAATGCCATACATTGATGGGCTGTGGATAAAGTAGAAGGCCACCTTGCCTTTGGACACTATTCCGTCTAGTCCAGATATTCCAGAAGTAGGTCCAAAAGAGGTCTGTTGAGTGGTATACTAGCCTTAACCTTCTGTCTCTCCTACAGTTATATCAGGAGAATGGGACCAACTAGTTGCTGCCAGCATTCAGAGGACAGGTAATCAACTGCTTCATCTGCCTCTCAAAACAACACTAAGCTGCAAAAAGCAAGTCCCAAATGACAAGGTTCATGCTCTCTAGTTTCAGAGTGAGCACAGAGTCTTACAAATGTAGTTGTATGTTGGTAGCAAAATTTGTTTATTAAAGGCTTTGTTTTAGAGAAAGCTCAGAAGCACAAATTTTGTTAACTAAAATGGAACTTACCATGAGCACATCCCCACCACCTAAGATTAGTGGGATAGATTCTGCTTGAATATCCGTAGGAAGACTGTCGAGAACAGAAAAAGTAAAGAATTTAAGAAAATGAGTTTGTACAATGTTTATATATTTTTTCAATCAAATTACTTATACCTTGATGAAAAAATTTAAAAAAAAAAAAAAAAAAAAAACTTGCAGCAACTGAAATTTAATTCACAGTTTAACTTCAAAGTCATACATGTTCTGAACATTAGAATTTGTTGCACAAGCAACACAAACTAAAGGTAATTAACTTAAAGCAACACTAGAGTCAGGAACACAAGCATGTATCATAGTTTGTTTCCGGACCCTGTGGCTCCCTTTGAAAAAATATTATACTCAGCACAGCGCATTGGGAGGCAGTTGCACAAGGCAGGCTAGATGCTAAAACGCCAATCAGCATCTCATCATAGAGATGCATTGAAGCAGTTGACCGTCAGTGCTGCAGGAAGCACAGTCTAGTGCAGGGCTTGACAAATTTGTCTGGAATATAGGAGCCAGCTAAAAAAGTTAGGAGCCAGTCATTTTCAAGGGAAAGCATTGGCTTAGCTGAGATCATAAAGATTGATCATATCAGCCATGGTGAAACTGGCACAGCGTGGGAAAATGGGAACAAAGGTGAGTTAACACCTTCCTCATGCAATTGGAGGGGGCAGGTACCTAAATGCGTGCGCGCGCACACTGACAGGCACACATACTCTGAAAGGCTCACATACACAGTCATGCTGACAACAGGTTTGCACGCACACACTTTGACAGGCTCGCACACAGACACTGACAGACAAGCACACACAAACTCTGACAGGCGCTCACTCACACTCTCTTGACAGCCTCTCGCTCTCACACACACACAGACAGACACTCAGACAGGCTCGCTCACTCCGACAGCACACACAGACACTGACAGGCTCACACACACTCACACGCTGAGAACAGGCTTGCACACACTCTTGACAGGCTCTTGCTCACACACACACTATGACAGGCTCTTGCTCACAAACACACACACACACTATGACAGGCTCTCACAAACACACACACACACACACTATGACAGGCTCTCTCACAAACACACACTGACAGGCTCTCTCACAAACACACACGGACAGGCTCTCTCTCACAAACACACACGGACAGGCTCTCTCACAAACACACACGGACAGGCTCTCTCACAAACACACACAGACAGGCTCTCTCACAAACACACACGGACAGGCTCTCTCACAAACACACACGGACAGGCTCTCTCACAAACACACACGGACAGGCTCTCTCACAAACACACACGGACAGGCTCTCTCACAAACACACACGGACAGGCTCTCTCACAAACACACACGGACAGGCTCTCTCACAAACACAAACACTTTTTGTTTTAATTGAAACCCACTCAGCCTCCCTACCTTTGGGAGAGCTGAGTGGGTCTTTCCTGGGGTTCAATGGGGCTGCACTCTTCCTGTATGCGAAGGAGCAGTACTCTGCCTCACGCTGTGTAATGATGCCGGGGCTGGGATGACGTCATATTCTGGCTCCCGGCATCATTACACAGCGCGAGGGAGCAGCTGCAAACAGAGTACTGCTCCCTCACGTGCCACCTCCAAATACCCGCGGGGTGGCGGGCGGCCGCCTCCAATATTTCCCATGACGGCCGTCGTCAAAGCTCACTAACTACAGAATTGGCAAATCCCAAACGCCAGGGCGACATTTCTAGTCGCCGTGGCGATCTGGCGCCTGGGATTTGTTGAGCCCTGGTCTAGTGGCTGTCTGAAAAACCTGTGTTTACACTGAAAAGAGTGCAGGGATATGCTATTGACACCACAACCACTACATTACGTTGAAGTGGTTCTGGTGACTTTAGTGTTGCTTTAAAGCCAAAAAACCCAAAGAAAATAAATCCAGTCTGGCTATTTTAATCAGCAATTGTCTGCCATAGAATTTGCTACTAATTATACTGCATGTAGTATAATGTTTGTCATGACACACTGTATACTTACAGCCAATCCATTTCCTCCACAGCCTGAGCAATCTCAGGCATCACACCCATCTCTGCAAAACCAAACAAAAAAGGTCAGTTAATCTGGGAAACTAGTATTTAAATTACAAAACGAATTCCTCAAGGTAAATAACTGCCTCCTCTAGCATCAATTCTTTACATTGCATTCCCCTCCTTCCAAGCAGTCTCCTAATGGTCTGCAAAATATATGCATAGAGTGTATTATATTTTTTTCTAAAGCTTAAAAGCCCATTAGTTTGTAACTCTGTTCTATTATGTAGCTACATAATAATGCCATCTTACATTAAACAACAATTAAAAAAAAAAGGATCACTATAGTGATTTTTTTAAAGGATCACTATAGTCTCAGGAAAACAAAGCGGTTTTCATGACACTATAGTGCCCTGAGGGTCTGGATGTCAGCCACTAGAGGCTGGCGTAACCCCAAATGTAAACATAGCAGTTTCTTTGAAACTGCTATGTTTGCATCTGAAGGGTTAAAACCTGAGGGACCTGGCACCCAGATCACTTCATTGAACAAACATTCTGTAACTTTCCCAAAACATCAGATGTTATTAGTCAAAACAATTGGGTAAATAATGTATTTTAATTTTATTTTAGTGGCAAACAGATGTGTTCTGTTAGTCTGTATCATCTAGCAAATTGAACAGGACTGACCACAAACTTGTCACTTGCAGATTCAATATTTTGTTTCATATTATCTCTGTGATTGAATACTGTGAATTTTAACACTTGCTTCCAATAATTTGTTACTAAGATTTTATTTTGCACATATAAATGTGTCCTGTTTTTTTTAAATGGACTATGAATGCTAAACATATAATATATACCAGTAGTTTTCAACCAGCACTCCACTGGTGTGGCACAAACCAACTCAACATGTGCCATAAAACCTTGATTTTTCAGGATTTCAATTATACTGTAGTCACCAAAATAATTTAAGCTTATTGAAGCAGTTTTGGTGTGTAGAGCATGCCACTGCAGTCTCACTGCTCAATTCTCTCCCATTTAGGAGTTAAATTGCGTTATTTATGCAGTCCCAGTCACACCTCCCTGCACGTGACTTGCATATCCGTTCTAAACACTTTGAGTAAAGAGTCGTCTAAAGTTTACACTACCTTTTATTGCAATTACTGTTTCGTTTCTAATTTCTTATCTACTGCTCTGTTAATAGCCTGCTAGACACTGCAAGAGACTTCTGTGTGTGATTAAACTTCAATTTACAGAGCAGAAGATAATCCTTCTAAATTAAGTGAACACCTGATGGAAATTATAACCATTTACTTTCGCATGCAGACGGTGTCAGTCACAGCCAGGAGAGGTGCGGCTAGAACTGTATAAAACAGAAACAAAAGTGATTTAACTCCTAAATGGTAGGGAATAGCGCAACGAGACTTCAGAGTGATGACCTGTACACCAGAACTGCTTCATTAAGCTAAAGCAGTTTTGGAGACTATAGTGTCTCTTTACATTCAGTCTGTATGCATTTTAAATACATGTCAGCATTAAAACCGTGACTCCCAGCAGGTAATTAAGACTTACTAGTGCAAGTTTATCTGTTGCCTGTCCCTAATAATTAAACTCAACAAATAGGTGTGCATTGTAAACGCTTACCACCTTGCCCCAACAATGTTTTGGAACCACTTATATATCATTAAACAAATCCAATGGATTCCTACTAAAACAAATATTCTTCTTCTTCTTCTTTACATTTTAAAGATTATACTAGAGGTTAGCTAAGGGGTCTTAAATATATAAATGAGGAACTGGACATTCCTTACATCTATTAACATGTATTTAATGCCTTTAAAATGCAAATTAATTTAATGTAATTGCATAACACACATAATGCTGCCCTAACCCACAAATGGAGGAAACAGGGCAGGTGGTCCATTGCCATGTTCCAGATCCAGGTGTCTGCTTTGGATTTCTAATATTATTATTCTCAGCCAAATGGCTGGCTGAGCATGATGAGAAGCAGAACTCATCCCAGCTGGAGCATGAAAGGTTATTAATTACTAATATATATATATATATATATATATATATCTGCTAGAGGCAGTAACCCCTGTATCTGGCATTATTACAGTATACTGTGCTGTTATTATTAATGCTCCAGAGCCAGCACGTCCCCATGCTTGGAAGGCCTCTGCATACATACCTGAAAAAGCTGCCATGTCTACCCAGCTGCCAGCACAATCACCACCGGAAGTGACGTGCCCAGAGATTCACCGGAAATCGTCCTATAGACCAGTGTTCGATCAATTCAGGAGCCATGTTTCTGGAGCCTTATGCGCCGCTGCTTCAGATACCGAGAGACCATTTTTTATGTATCGGCTGCTTTCTCTAGCATTTAGAACTCTACCTATCAATCTTCCCCCCTCCAGGCAAGGAAGAGCTGGCGGCCATGTTTAATTGGGGCAAGGTGCCCTCAGTTTATCCAGAATATGGATTTTATTCCATGCTCTCTATATATTATGTAGCCTAATCCATGACTGCAGCTCTATACGTGGATTGGGAGGTGTATATTGTGATACAGGTAGTATATGACCAGGGTTTTCAAATTTACAGTGAGGACTTTACTATAGTATATATACTATCTTTTTTTTAAATTTGTAATACTGATTGTAAAATGTTGCTGGATCAGGGAACACTTAAATCAGAGGGAAGACAAATTACAGTGTGTTCTTTTCTGTTACTTTCACTGGCAGCTTGTAAATGTATACCTCCCAAATGCCCTTATGTAGTAGAGACAGTCCCTATTTTTGACCAAAATCCCCCTCCCCTGTCTCTCTGTTCTCTATTCGTTGGCCCCTCTTTTCTAGGAGCTCCATATTGTTGGTGTGTCTAAATTTATACAATTATTCACAGTAATGGGTCTTTAAACTACAATGATATTTTTAGTCTGCCAATAAGATACATTGTTATAACTTACATTGCAGTTGTATTAATTGTAGTCACCTAAAATCTCCCATGATAGCTCTGCTTCCTGCCACCGCCCCCCTCCTGTCCCCCCCCCCCAAAAAAATATAACGTGTCACTCTTTATTCATTTGAAATGTTGGAACGGATGTAAATGTCATATTTATTTGAGGAATTATTAAAGGACCACTATAGGCACCCAGACCCCTTCAGCTCAATGAAGTGGTCTGGGTGCCAGGTCCTTCTAGGGTTAACCCTGCCTGCTGTAAACATAGCCAGAGAAACTGCTATGTTTACACTAGGGTTAATCCAGCCTCTAGTGGCTGTCTGATTTTCACAGTGAGAAGACGCCAGCGTCCATAGGAAAGCATTGAGAATGCTTTCCTATGGACTGAATGCGCTCGCAGCTCTTGCCGCGCATGCGCATTCAGCCGATGACGTCCGAAGGAGGAGGAGACTCCCCAGCGCCGGGCTGGAGAAAGGTAAGAATTTAACCCCTTCCTCCCCCTTCAGCCTGGCAGGAGGGGGGCCATGAGGGTGGGGGGGGGGACCTATTAAAACTACAGTGCCATGAAAACGAGTTTGTTTTCCTGGCACTATAGTGGTTCTTTAAAGGTGACCTATCAAGTCACATGGTGACACTCAATCTTTTCTCATTATTATTATTTTATTATTTATATAGCGCCATCAGATTCCATAGCGCTGTACAATAATTTTAACCAGACAACTGGACGTATAGAAACAGAGGGGGTGGTGGGCCCTGCTCAATGAGCACACATTCTATTTAGAGGAACTTGCTGGTCACCTGGCAGCTCGGTTCGGTCACTCTCTCTCAGGAGGACTGAGGGATAGTGCACCTTGTGGGCATTTTTAATAGCACTTGTGGTGAACGAAGAGTTAAACTTGGCATTTTAAACCCATATGCTAGCACTAACGCAGCATTCTTTGTACGGGCAGCTCTGATTTTCTGCCCACCTGGTCTGCATGTTGGAATGACATGCCCCATTTTTGGGCACAGGGACATTGTGAATTATGTAGCAGTAGTGTAGTATATAACTTTTTCCTTTGGTGTTGCATCATTAGCAGAAATACCAGTTAGTCCATGCCACATTTTGGTGAGTATTTGTGTTGGTTACAAAATATACAAAAATATATATCCCCTTGAGCTACAACTTGGTAGGTGATAATGGCAAAGGAGAAAATGAATTAGAGCAATTACTCGGAGCCTTCAGTAATGAGACAAAATTAGGAGGAGAATCCACTACGCTGTGTACATTCAAACACACAAAGCAAAGTAATCTAGCTATAAATGACTTGCATGGGTCTTAAATATTAATATATTCTCACTTTGATGTAGTTAGCTCGCCAAATAATGTGTAGATTTGGCATGACATTTATTTGTGAAATTCGGGTGTTTGAACTACTTACAGCTTTATTTTACGAACAAATTATCATCCTTATAACCAAAAAGTAAAACAAATCCTTTTTCATTCATATTAATTCATCAGTAGAGTTATTTTTCTATAAGTTAAAGTGAAACTGTAATATTTATGGAAATTACCACTAAATAAAACACTAAAAATCACCTGTTATATGTTATATCTGACACAAAATATTTTTGTCGAAATAAACAAATATTCACACGCAAAAAAAATCACCTGTAACTTGCATTAACATTTTACACGTGCTGCTCTTTTTTCTTGTTTGTATAGTAAAGATATATGTATATTAAAGATTTATCAATCACAGGCACAGCAATGGCATGCAATTCAAATGACGGGAAACACTGTAATATTGTTTTGGTTTCTCTACTTATTATAATTATTGGCATTTACATATTGCCAATTTATTCTGCAGCACTTTACAATGTTATAAAACGCGGAAATGTAACACTAAATGAGAAAATTAAAAAACGTTATAGGAACAATAGGTTGATGGGACACCTGCTCAAACAAGCTTACAATCTTCTACTCACTATGTTCATTGCAGAAAAGGGTAACATTTATAACGATGATTAACAGGCAGTCAAGATGGAGGTATAATATAGAGGTAAAGACAGTTTTGACGAGTTCTACATCTACCATATTTCTCAGTGTAAAAGACACACTGGTGTATCCTCCTGGTTTACAAATTGTCTTCCAATATGCCATTCATTTTTTATGAAATGGAAGAGGAAGTTCCCAACATTCCAGCCTATCACATAACATATCACAGGAAACCCCATAAAGTGCCCTCTTTACAATAAAGCAGGGATTGATAGAGTAGCTCAAAATAATTAAAAGAGATGCATGTGAACGGAATGTCCAGTACAGAGGACACAAGTTAATGAGCTGGGTCTCAGAAGGTTAAAACTTGCATTTATATATTTTAATTAAAAATGTAGAAGAAAACAAATTATGGAATGTCGTGCATGTGCACACTGATTAGCCACAAGATTAAAGGGACACTATAGTCACCAGAACTACAGCTAATTGTATTTGTTCTGTTTAGCAGAATAATTCCCTTCAGGCTTTTTGCAGATAACACTGTCTTTTCAGAGAAAATGCAGTGTTTACATTACAGCCTAATGATAACTTCACTGGCCACTCCTCAGATGGCTACTAGAGGTTCTTCCTGGGACAGTGCTGCATTCAGTGTCTCCATCCTCATAGCTGTGCATTGATTCAATGCATCTCTATGAGGAGATGCTTATTGACCAGGGCTGTGTTTGGTTTGTGCTTGCTCTGCCTCTGATCTGCCTCCTTGACAGTCTCAGCCAATCCTGTAGGAAAGCATTTTGATAGGCTCAGAGAATCACTTCTGATTATGTCAGCCAAGCAGGCAGATCAGGGACAGAGCTAGCATCTGCAGACTTGAACAAAAGTAAAATCCAATCCAATGCTTTCCTATGGGAGATCACAACTTCTGATGATGTCAGCCAATAAGGAAGATCAGGGGCAAAGTCAGCACCATAAAGGTAAGATTTTACTATATTTGGGGAGGAAGGGGGGGAAGCAGGGAGGCTATTTGGTGTTTTTAACACTATAGAGTCAGGAATACATGTTTGTGTTCCTGACCCTATAGTGTTCCTTTAAAACCACTGACAGGTGAAATGAATAACATCAATTATATTGTTACAATGGCACCAGGAGTGGCAGCAAGCGAACAGTCAGTTCTTGAATTTCATGTGTTGAAAGCAGTAAAAATGGGCAAGTGAAAACATCTGAGTGAGTGCCAAATAGTAATTGCTAGATGACTGGGTCAGATCATCTGTAAAGCAGCAAGTCTTGTGGATAGTTCCTAGTATTTATTATACGAGGAAAACAAAAAGAATTAACCTAGGGCCAAAATTTAGATATCACAAGGTAGAGGGCACAAAAAAAGGGGGGTAACCCCTAAATGGTGAATATCATAGAGAATAAACAAAAAAAGAAACAAATGCCATTCTACCTGTGTATGATTTACTGAGAAGATTGTAGATTAAAAAGTAACTTTTAATAAATAAATCTAAAATAAAAATATAAATATAGTATCACTTCTATTACTTGGAATACACTGTTATATTGTAGCTAAACAGTATTGCTTCAGCATTAGTGTTATTATGTATAAGTAGCTTGTATAAGTAGTCACAGAGTTTTACTCGCTATATAGTCTCCATTTACTCCTGCTGTTCAAATTATTTTTCTTTTTTATATTTTTATTTTAGATTTATTTATTAAAAGTTACTTTTTAATCTACAATCTTCTCAGTAAATCATACACAGGTAGAATGGCATTTGTTTCTTTTTTTGTTTATTCTCTATGATGTTCCTAGTATTTAGTTTAGTGGTTAGTAGCTACCAAAAGCATTGCAAGATAGGACAACTTGTGAACTGGCATCCATTGACCCCCCAATGGTCAATGATGCACATGGGATGCGAAGGCTAACCTGTCTTGTCACTGGATTAAGGTAAGTGGCTGAATGGGTTTTAACCCCTTCAGCCCTGAGGGAGGGGGTGGAACCTAATAATCCTATAGTGTCAGGAAAATGAGTTTGTTTTCCTGGCACTACAATGCTCCTTTAAAGCTAGCCATGATAGCAAGGTGTCAGAGCACACTGTGAGCCAGAATTTGCAGCACATTGGGCTGTATAGCCGCACACCCATCAGAGTGACGTCATATTCTGGCTCCCGGTGCGCTGACAGCTTAGTGCGGCTGCCCGCCCGGGAAACAACCGCCCGCCTGCACGTCCGGCCGTCTCCTTGCCCAGCAGCCCACTGGACCCCAGGTGAAAAATCCACCCAGCTATCCCAAACATAGGGAGGCTGGGTGGATTTAAATTTAAAAAAAAATATGATAATAATTGTGAGTGTGGGGAAATGTGTGTGTCAGTGA